TTGGGCTGCCAGGACACTCTGCTGACTGAGATCCAACTGGCCACTAACCAGGACCCCCAGGGCCCTTCCCATGGTGCTGTTCCCCAGCCCCTCGTTCCCCAGTCTGTCCCTGCATCCAACACTGCCCATCCCAGGGGCAGGATCTGGCATTTGCCTTTGTTAAACACCTCGCAGTTGGTGAGCACCCAGCCCTCACATTTGTCAGGACGTGACAAATGTCCTTGAGGGAGTCAGCAGCTCCTCCCAACTTGGTGTCCTCAGCAAATCCACTGAGGACCTTCCAGTCCTGTAACCAAGTTGCCCCCACCACCGGCACTGCTCTCCCTGCTGGGGCAGCCAGTAATGCCCTCTCTATTTTTAGCCATTTTGCTAAGAAGTAGCTTATGGGTTACTTCTTAGGAAAGCTTAACGTGTGCATGAAATCTGAACCAGCACCTCTCTCCTGGGGGTGTGGGGCCCATCCCCACCAGGATTTTATGAACTTTGCTGGTACATTCCTTTGCTGTTCAGTCACGCACAGCAGTGGCACGGGACGCTGGAGATTTAGGGTAACGGTATCTTACCAAAAAAGAACAACATCAGTTATTCACCATCAAAATACACTAAGAATACAGACTTCTTAACCCTCGGAGACAACAGAAAACATGGCCAGACCTTGAAAAGAGGTGTCTCCTGCCCTTCACAGCTCAGCCTGGGCTGCCACAAGCCCGTCCTGGGTGTGAGACCCTGTGGGCACTGGCACATGAATGTGCAAGAGCTCAGTGATGCACTCAGGCACTGGTTTAGAAAATATCTATGGAAACCACTCCCACCTTGGATATTTTGCCCATCAGACACATCCTGTGCAGCTCTGGCAGCAGACACTGACTGACCACCACGTTTTTGCTGCAGCCTCATGTCTGGTTTGGCCACCATGGACTCCAAGGCCTGTGGGAAGATGGGGGTGATCACCATCACCTACTACCTTTGGACAACCTTCATGGCAGTGACTGTGGGGATCATCCTCGTGGTCAGCATCCACCCTGGGGCAGCTGCCCAGAAGGACAATGACACTGTGGGGAAGGTGGTGCTGAGCTCCGCTGATGCACTGCTGGATTTGATCAGGTACGTCCCAGGATTTCAGCAGGGGCCAAGTTTATGATGACAAGATCTTCCCAGAAGGCTCCAAGTTCCCAGGAGACATTGAGATCTCCAGGGAAACAGGAGAACTCTCCTGGCCAGGTGCTGGTACCTCCGAGCCCAGCAATGTGGGGTTCACCTGCCCCACCACACGTCCCTCTGACCACTGTCACTGTCACTGCTCTCCCAAAGCCCCCTGCAAACAGGGGAAGGAGCAGAGAACAGACACATTAACACTCCCTCAAGGCTCAGGGGTTCTCCCCTGCAACTCCAGCAGGGAGATGCCAAGCCCAGAGCTGACCCAGGGCTGTCTTTAAGCAGCAGGTGGGGATACCTGGGGAGGGGGTGAAGCACCGACCCAGGGGCTGGGGGAGAATCTCCATTTCTGGAGGCATTCCATGGACTGGACCAGGCTCTGAGCATTCTGCTCCAGCTCTGAGGCTTCTGCTACAGGTGGCAGATGTCTGTCCCAGGCTCTGGCTTTCCATGAGTCCCATTTATGAGTGATTCTCAGTCCTGCTCTGTGTTGACCTTCCAGCCTCTCTTTGCCCTCAGCCTGCTGGTGTTGGCTGTAACCTCCTCCTCCAGGTCTCCATGCCCACCAGAGGTGCTTCCCAGGGTGCTCCCTGTGCTCTCACAACACACTTTAACCTCCATATTGTTGCTCTCTTGCAGAAACATGTTTCCTTCTAACCTGGTTGAAGCTTCATTCCAGCAGGTGAGTTCACCTGGCCCCTCTGTGGGCGCCTGGGATGGTGCTCAGCTCCACGTGGGGCTGCCTCTTTCCCCACCCACAGCCCAGACATGAGCCCCTTCTCCCTTCCCCTTCCCTTCCTTTCCCCCTTTTTCCTTCCCTTCCCCTTTCTTCCTTCCCCTCTCCTCTGCCTCCCTCCCCGCTCACCCCAAGGAGGGCACCTGAAGGCAGGAGGGTGCTGGGGGAACACAGGCTCACAGGGACCCCCCTGCCTGCCCTCTGCCTGGAAGGGGCATGTACAGAAAAAGCAGCTCCCCAGTCCCGGGGGAAGGGGCAGCAGAGGGGCAGGCAGGAGGCACAGGGCAGGCTGGGGTGGGCAAAGGGGATGGGCTGAGGAGGGGCCAGGTAGGGTGGAGGGAGAGGGAAGACAAGCAAACTCATGGCATTGGGAAAGCATCAGTAAAGCCCCCAGGTAGAGGGATGGGGGAACCTCTCCCTGGGGACCACAGTGCTCCCCCAGTGCTGTGCTGGGATCCCACAGAGGTCTGCAGAGACCCGACTCACACCACCACGTGTCTGCCCAGCAGCCTTGGCCAACAGTGGCTGGGCTCTGCAGGGAGCAGCCACAGCTCCTCTTGCCTCTTGCTCCTTATTTCCACCAGCCTTTTACTGCCTGGAAAACAAACTCTGAACCTCCGTGACCACCAGGGCTGCCTTGCCTCCGTGTTCAGAGCAGGATGGAGCTCACACCAGCAGCACACCACCCTCACTCCTCTGCTTCTGTTCCAGTATCGAACCGTTCTTGTCCCGGTGGTGAAGTCTCCCGGCTCCCCAAAGGTCCCAGGGAAACCTGTCAACTTTATTTACTTCGCACCCGACGACCAAAACCCCGAAATCCATCGGCCCGTGTTCCTCGAGCTGACACCATCCCCTGAGATGACCTACAGGACCCTGGCTGGGACCAGCAACGAGATGAACGTCCTGGGGATCGTCATCTTCTCAGCAACAATAGGTACCTGCTCCTCCAGAGCGGGGCTGCAGCCCGGGCTGGCAGTGGCTGCAGCCACCACGCTCACCCTGGGGAGAGCTGTGGGATGAGGTTCTTTAACTGCTCCAGTCCCTGGGAACTGGGCCCAGCACAGAGCTCTGTCCCATCAGTCCCACCCATGGTGGAGCTCACTGAGGCTGTAGGCCCTGGGAAGGCTGTTTTCTCCCCAGATTTCCCATATGAGCTTCCACAGCCCACACGGGGGTCCTGGGGGTTTTCAAACCGTAACATAACCTTTTCTTGAATGAAGTGAGGTGTAATTTTTGCAGAGGCTACCTGAGACACAGCTCATCCCAATGATCCAAACCCTTCATGCTGAGGGTTCAGCCCCCTGAGCAGGCAGGATGTGACACTGGGGTCAGACTTGTGCTGTCACAAATACATGGGAATTTACAACAGGAGTTTCTGAAGGAGGTAGGGAAGCATTCTGCATCGAGCAGCCTGCAATCCTGTGTGGACAAGGTGCTCAGCAGCAATTCTGAGAAGGAAGATGGACCAGAGGTTGTGCAGAAACACGTGCAAGAGAGAAGGAGGTTTGAAGGGGAGAAAGTCACTGCAAGGAGGAACTTGGAGCTGGCTCAAAGTGACACCGGGTACAAGGCTGAGCAAGAAAGGAGGGAAGGACCAGGAGGAAAAAGAGTAGGAGGCAGTGAGATAAGGATGGGGACAGGATTATGTGTAGATAAGGAGGTGAGGGCAAGGAGCTTGAACTTTGTGTATAAGGAACCAAAAAGCCAATTAGAGGATTTGAGGGGAGGAGGCAGCACAGCCAGCACAGCACTGGAGAGCACTGGCTGCAGTCAGAGCCACGGAGAGGGGCCAGTTCTAAAGGCCACGACACAGAGAGAGCCCCGAGGGGATGGCCTCAGTGAGACTGGGCAGAGCCAGATCCCTGCAGACTTTGCCTCTGGCAAACTCCTGTCCCAGCAACCAACACCTCCTGCAGACCCTGGACGCTCAGGGAAAGTGCTGAGCTCTTGCCTGCAGGACACGTGCCCTCCTACAGCCCTGTCAAACCTGCAAGAAGAAGCTGCTTTTCTCCTCTGGCGTGGGAGTGGGATCAGCCTGAGTTAGGAGGCAGCAGGAGATCACCTGAGCCAGCCCCAGCCACCAGCTGTGCTCCCCATGTTCTGCCCAGGATGGATTAGAGCTCCACGAAGCCACAGACTGGCAGCTGGGCATGGGTACCTCAGTAAAGGATTCATATACCCACAGGAGGCTTTCCCTGCAAGGAAGGGCCTGGCAGAAAACAGGAGAGGGACAGGGAAGGCACCACAGCCCCATGGAGTGGGGAGGGCACTCGGCTTGTTCAGTGGGAACAGCTTGGGAAACAGGATCACCTCCTCCATGCAAGGTGGGGAGGCCAGGTGGGAACTGGCTGAGGCCTCAGCAAAGGGTATTTTTGTGTGAGAGCAAATTAGGCAGTTTGTGTGTCTGAGAGCAAAGCACCCACAGAGCACCTGCTGGGTACCAGAGTGACTTTGCTGTGGATGGTGACTCCACACAGTTCCCCCAGCTCTGACAGTCCCTCCACTGTCACTGAGAGCCTCAGTCCTTTTGAAATCCAGAAAAGAGCAGAGATTTCAAGCTCCTTGCAGGAAGCTGTCTGTTTGCTAAGGACCTGTCTCCCAAATCAGCTCTGTAGGACCTGAAGAGCAATGACTTTCTTCCAAAGCAGCTTTTGTGGCCATCAAATACCAGATGAATACCCACAGAGCTGAGATTTAAATGTGCCAAGCCTTGTCTCATTTCTGAAAGTCCTGGCAAAGGTGACTCCATCTCATGTCTCTTCTGAGCAAGGCAGGAGATCCCACCACCCACCAAGGGCCTCTGAGGACTGAGGAGGGATGAGTGGGACAAGATCCTGTCTATATTCTTCTTTTCCAAGCTAAAGCAGATGCCTGTACAGTGCTTCAAAATTAATTTTAGCCAATACAAGGAGGATGTGCTGTGGGCTGGAAACAATATGGAAAAATGCTCAAAGCCTCCTTTTTCCTTTGCTCAGTGGGTTCCTGAGAGAGCTCCCAGCCAGTGAAACCAATGGGATTTAACACTGGCAGGCCAGACAGCACCATTACCCCTCCTAACCATTCCTGTATTTCTGCTCTAGTATTCCTTCAACAGAAAATCAGGCTGGATTACGTTAATGCAACAACATCAAAAGGAAAAAACAGACTTAAGAGAGGAGGCTTAATGGCTGTATCCAAGCAACTCAGTCGGATCCTTCCTGACGTATCACTGTACAGCCCCGTGTGTTGTCACCACCAGGGAACAGCCTGTGAGCCACCAGCAGGGTGAGGAACAGCCCTGCCCAGGGGGGAACTGAGAGCAGCCACTGCCCACGGGACCAGACCCTGAGCACTGCTGGAGTGATCCAAGTGGCACAACCTGAGCAAGGGCAGGGCTGCAGCACAGCACCACATCCTCAGCTACAGAGAACCCCACCAGGCTCTGTCCTGCAAAAAAAATCCGTTTCTGCTTCTGGAGCTCATTATTCTTGTATTACCAAACAGCCATCCAGCCATCCACCTAATCCAGCTAATCCGCACTTTATCCACCTCGGGAAGTGACTCTTCCAGCCCTGAGCAGCACTGAACTTTTATCTGTTTTCTGTGCAAGGAATGGTCCAAATCCTGGCTCTGGGTCTGGTGGGGTTTTGTGAGAGAAGGCAGATGTGTTTGCTTGGAGCAGGGAACGGCCGTGACTCGCGAGAGCTCGTGGCAACCTGTGCTGAGCGTCAGCTTGCCCAGTGCCCCCCGTTCTGTGGCCACCAGAGCCTGCAGACACCCAGCCCAACACGTGCTGCTCCTGAGTAACATAACCCACTGTGTTTGATTGCAGGACTCCTCCTGGGAAAAATGGGCGAGCGAGGAGCCCCCCTGGTTAACGTGTGCCAGTGCCTGAACGAAGCAGTTATGAAAATTGTCTCGATGGCCGTTTGGTAAATCTGGTTTCCATTGGTTTCAGTTTATTTCCTTTCCTGCTGTCCGATGGCACTGCCGGTCACACCTCTGCGTGTATCTGCTGTGAGCACTGGATTTGTTCTCGTGCAGCTGCACCACACGGCACCAAACGCTGCAGTGCCTGTCGTGCAGTGCTTCAGGCACTGCTGCACCCTCATGAATTATTCTTTTATTCTTATTCTTTGCAGGTACTTCCCCTTTGGCATTGTGTTTCTCATTGCTGGAAAGATCCTGGAGATGGAAGATCCGTCGGTTATAGGACAGAAGCTGGGACTGTATGTCATTACAGTGGTGTCAGGGCTTGCCGTGCACGGACTCGTCATTTTACCTCTGCTTTTTGTGCTCATAACTAAGAAAAACCCCTTTGCTTTCATTCAGGGGATCCTGCAAGCCTTGCTGATCGCCTTAGCTACATCCTCCAGGTAGGAAAACGTGGCTGAAACCTGCCAATGCCGCTGAGCAGTAATCTGGTTTAGCAAGGGAGGCGTGGCTGTGTATGGCCAGGGGAGCTGTACAGGAGGACTGGTGTTAACTTAAAGGAAAATTATGCTCCAGCACTATTTGAAATGCAAATGCTCCTGGTTTTCAGGGGAAGCAGATTCTTGGCCCTGCCCTGTCAGTATATCTGGAGATCAGGGCAGCTCACGGTGCTCTTCCATTCACTCTCCTGGGGTTTTCCCAGACCAAACCAGCAATGTTTCTCTGTGTGTGTGTGTGTCTGTGCTTCTTTTAAAAGCTGCAGTTTTCTTTCCATGAATTCAAACTAGAACTGCTGTAGGTGCTTTATAAAAACACATGAGTTTATTATGATCCTGGGGTTTAACTGAACACATCAAAAGCTCTTCTGAACGCTTTTCTGACAATCTAAAATGAACTCTCTATGTCTCAAATTCCTCCACAGAAAAATGTTGCCTGCTTTGAAAAGATTTTATAATTTTACATTATATTCATCTATTGTATTTTCATTGAAAAACATTCTTTATAACAATGAAGAAACTTTACACTACAAACTACCATCCTTTCTGGATGACACACAAGTTCAAACATTTTCCTAGAAAACATCTGACCAGGCAAAGAGGCAAAGGGTTTTTCTGGCCTCCCTGTTGCTTCTTGACATGATCCCAATAAAGCCACCTAGACAGTGACTCCCTTCCAAGCCCCCACTGCTGCAGGTGCTTCTGCAACTCTTAATGACCTGCCCTCCTCCTGGACCTGCGTCTCCAGCTCTGTCTCCATCAGGCTTCCTCCTCCCTCTGCTCTGCAGCCAGCTAAGTGAGCTGGAGAGATGGCACACAGGGATGGAGGGAACACCCTGCTCCTTGTCCCAGCCCCATGGTCTGTGCCTGGGGGCCACTGTGCTGTGCTCTGCATCCAGCTCCTTTCCCAAAAGCAGTCCCGTCCTCCCAGAGTCTGTCGTGATCCCATCAACTTCTCTTCTGGGGTCTCCTTTCTTCCACTTGTTCCTTCTTCTCCGTGTCCTCATCCCAGCTCCCGTGGGACAGCTCAGGTCCTCCTGCTAGAAAGAAACAAGAGAGAGTTCAGGGGGTGCAGGAGCCAAGACAGCTGCCCCTCGTGCCCACGGCACAGAGGAGACAGACAAGGACCACGGGGGTCAGGCTGGAGCCTGGCATGGCCAGTGCTGTCCCACACTGTCCCACGCTCCAGGAGGTGCTGCAGGATTAATGTGGGGGCCAGGGATGCACCACAGAGCTGCAGCCACGGCACAGAGCTGGTCAGAGTGGCACCTGCAGCCACCGAAACGACATTCTGACATTTCCTCTCGCAGCCTGCAGCTCACTCAGCTAACGATGTCCCTTCCTCGGGTGGTACGAGCTGGAGAGACTCTCACGGCTGCAGCCGTTTGTGAGGCTGGGAGGGCTCCTGTCCCACCACACCCACTCCTGTAAGGCTCAACGCAGGCAGCAGAGGCAATCACTGATCATTTCCTGTCCTGCAGCTCAGCCACCCTGCCCATCACCCTCAAGTGTCTCCTGGAGAACAACGGCATCGACAGGCGCGTGGCGCGGTTCGTGCTCCCCGTCGGTGCCACCATCAACATGGACGGCACCGCCCTCTACGAGGCCGTGGCTGCCATCTTCATCGCCCAGGTCAACGAGTACGAACTGGACCTGGGACAAATCATAACCATAAGGTAAAGGTTTCTTTGCAGCAGCCGAATTATTTCTCTCTGTTCCCGTTTACGGACGTTAGGACGACCTCTCATGCGCTTTTCCCGCTCGCAGAGGTCTTGTTAATGCACAGAGTGAACCCTTCTGGGAAGCTGAGGAGCAGGGAAAGGGGCAGCGTGTTGCAGGCCCTGCATCATGTGCCAGGGAATGCTGGGCTGGGCTCTGCCCCCAGAATCTGCTGCAGGTCAAGGACTTTGCCTGTAGGGGAAAGCCCAGTTGTACAGACAGCACGGCTGGAGCAGGTCAGCACTGCAGGACCTGAGCACAGGAGGGTTTCTGCAGGAGCCATTTACTCCCCTTCAGGAATGGGATATCTGCATTCCATAAGCAGGGAAATAAAGCACCTAAATAGATAATAATAATTAAGTACAGTTGCAAATATTTAGCAGTTTTAAGCAGGGGCTCCCTCCCCTGAAGGCAGAGGGGAGCTGTGCAAGCACAGAGCCAGGACACCAGCTACCAGCCCCTGCTGTGCACAGGCAGGGGGGTTCAGGATGGCAGCAGCCAGGAGCAGGAAGGTGGAGGGAGCCAGATCCAACCCAACCCTTCCACAGAGGAATAACTCACTTTTCCACGCAAACGCGCTCGTGTGAACTGCGCAGCCCCCTCTCGTTGCAGCATCACGGCCTCGGCCGCCAGCATCGGCGCCGCCGGGATCCCGCAGTCCGGGCTCGTCACCATGGTCATCGTGCTCACCTCGGTGGGGCTCCCGACTGAGGACATCACCCTCATCATCGCCGTCGACTGGGCTCTGTAAGTGCTCTCCTTAAGACCTGCTGCGGGCTCCAGGTTAATGGTGACGTATCTTCCTCTTGATGGATGAAACCAGACTGATCTCGAGACAGAAACTGGATTACACTTGTCACAAACACAACACACACCTTGTGAAATCACAGAATCATAGAATCAACTGCGTTGGAAAAGACCTCTGAGATCATCAAGTCCAACCCTTGATCCAACCCCGCTGTGGTTACCAGCCCATGGCACTGATGCCACATCCAGTCTTGTCTTAAAAACCTCCAGGGACGGAGAATCCACCACTTCCCTGGGCTGCCCATTCCAATGGCTGAGCACTCTCTCTGTGAAGAATTTCTTCCTAATATCCAACCTAAACCTCCCCTGGCACAGCTCAAGACCCAGCCCTCTTGTCTTGTTGATGGTTGCCTGGGAAAAGAGACCAACCCCCACCTGGCTCCCCCCTCCTGTCAGGGAGTTGTAGAGAGTGAGGAGGTCTCCCCTGAGCCTCCTCCTCTCCAGGCTGAACAGCCCCAGCTCCCTCAGCCTCTCCTCACAGCACTTGTCCTCCAGTCCCTTCCCCAGCCTTGTTGCCCTTCTCTGGACCTGCTCCAGCCCCTCCATGTCCTTCCTGAGCTGAGGGCCCAGAACTGGACACAGCACTCCAGGGGTGGCCTCACCAGCACTGAGTCCAGGGGAAGAATTATTGCCCTGCTCCTGCTGCTCACACTCTTCCTGAGCCAGGCCAGGATCCATTGGCCCTCTTGGCCACCTGGGCACACTCTGGCTCCTGTTCAGCTTCCTGTCCATCCCCACTCCCAGCTCCCTTCCTGCCTGGCTGCTCTCCAGCCACTCTGTCCCCAGCCCGGGGAGCTGCCGGGGGTTGTTGTGGCCAAAGGGCAGGACCCGGCCCTTGGCCTGGTTGAACCTCATCCCCTTGGAATCAGCCCAACTCTCCAACCTCTCCAGGTCCCTCTGCAGCCTTCCAGCAGATCAACACTCCCCCCCCAACTTGGTGTCATCTGCAAATTTGCTGATGGTACACTCAATCCCCTCATCCAGATCATCAATAAGGACATTAAACAGAACTGGGCCCAACGCTGATCTCTGGGGGACACCACTAGTGAGCAGCCACCAACTGGATGCAGCACTGTTTAAAATGTCCCATTTTAAAGTACTAAGATAAAAGCAAAGCAAATCATTAGGTGAGAAACCACACTGAGCTGAGGTGTGGGTGGCTGGTTTGTACTTCACAGCCCCCCTGGGCAGAGAGGGAACAGTGCCTTTCTTTCACTTAAAGGAAGGGTAACACAACACCAGTTCAGCCTTTCAGCATCCCAGGGTACCCACCACCATCACCTGTGAGAGGTGCCTGGGTAAACGAGACAAGTGCTGTGGTTGGACCTACAGGATTTTCTCCCTGAGAGGCATTTCAAGGAGGCAGCTCACCCCCACACCGAGCACAGACGATGCCAATGCCCCAGTCTGGGAGGTGGCACAGGCAGGTCCCTGCACTGAACACGTGCCAGAGTGAGACAGTCACAGCACGGGGCTCACAGAGACATCACAGCGACTGTTTTCTCTCTGTATCTGCAAAACCATCACAGCCCTCGGCTCACCATTAGCAACAGCAGTGGGACACCTGGGATGGGGGCTGAAACGTTCCAAAACCACCCCCACCCCGGGCACGATGGCTGTGGCCACCCCCTGCCCCCTCACTGTGTCTCTCCCCCAGGGACCGGTTGCGGACGATGACCAACGTCCTCGGGGACGCCCTGGCCGCCGGGATCATCGCACACGTCTGCGAGAAGGACTTTGCCCCAAAGCCCCCCCCGGTACGTCCAGCGTGGCTGGGAGGGCAGGGGAACTCAGGACAGGGCAGCACAGACACAGGGCACGGGCTCCCTCCAGAAATTAAAATTGTGCTTTCTCTTTTTGCAGCAGAAGCCAGTGAACAACATAGACAAGCTTCCCTCCACAGAGACCTCACACCCGCATCCCAAAGGCAATGTGATTGAAATGATTGAAGAGACCCTGGTGGATCCAACAGGAGTTCACTACAGCATCTGCCAGGTGTAGCTGACGGCATTCCTGCTCCCAGGAATGGCATCTTGGTGCTAAACACTGACATTGGGAGTGTCGTATATGGATGCTCTGCAAGATAAAGGCCTTACTTGGCACAAAAAGTGGGAAAATCCTCTCTATCCTTCGAAGACTCTGGGACTCTCTGGCAGGCACCCAAGGGGCAGGGAGCCAGATCCTCCCTGCGCCTGAGGACACAGCTGGCAGCTCGCCAGCCTGTCTGAAACGGATGGGTTTGAAGGTTTAATAACTCCCATTTCCCCAGTTCAGCTGTTTTGGAAGGTTAGGGAGGTGACCAGGTGTTAGCAGACTGGATTTGGTAAGAATGCAGCAGGGATGGGACACAACTCTGACCCCCCTAGGCCAGCAGCTCCTTCCCTGCAGGTCAGGCTGTGCCCCAGAAGCTTTTGTTTTCCTTATTATAGAGATTATTTTTTTAAATCATTGCTTTATATTTTATTACTGTGCTCTCCTCTAAAAACTAAGATTAAGTGAATTTCTGTCTAGAGCTGAAAATCCAGGTTGGATGTAACTGGATTTCCCAGCTGTCAGGTTACACACAGCATGGCTGAGCTGCTCCACTCTCAGCAGGAACAGTGGGATGCACTGGCTGCAGGGATGGAAGGACCAGCTGTAAGCTGTTCCTGTGGCTGTTTTATTCCAGTGAACTAACTGACTGGGCCCAATTGCAGTCGTGTTGATTTTCCCAGCTAAGGATCTGTCCCTAAGCTCAAATTCCAATTACAGCCTTAAAATCTAGGCTTCCCAGGGCAGCCTTCTCCACAAAAGCCTTTTATACCAATGATTCATGTAACTGAATTAATTTCTCTCTCAAAATGCCATCTCATCCCTTTTCTCCCTCTTGGTCTTTCCTGCCACAGCGTTAGGACTTGTAACACAGCTCAGACCCCCCCTCACATCACTGAACTGTTCTCCAATTGTACATAAAGAAAACACTTTCTCTGCAGAATTCTTTCATGCTGGAGTCAGAGGTTGTAAAATATTTTCTAATTTAGAAGAAATATTCATTCCAGTTTTGCCAAATGAAAAGCAGAAGTCATTAAATATCATAAACCAGCTTTTGCACAAGAACTAGTAATCTTCAATTAACTTCCAAAAGCCTTCCAAGAACCAGAATCCTGGGCAAGGTAAGCTTGAGGCACTGCTGTTAACTTTGGCCTTTCTCACCCTTTCCTCCTTGGTGAGGTTATTTATACCTTTTTAAACAATACAGCCCAACTCCTCCTCAACAGGAGCAGCCACATCATCTGCAAACCAAAATAATCACATTTCAAATCAAGCTCTGCAGCTTCCCCAGTCATCCCTCCCTCCCTCCCTCCTTTCCCATTTGTGATCACCTGGATGCATCACACACCGGTTCAGCTCCAGTGGCTCTGAAGGGTTTTGTGGTTGTTCTTTTACACCTGGAGCGAGCTCAGGCACCCCCAAAACCCCCGGGGAGGCTCCAGGCAGCTCCAGCTCCAGGACAGAGCACCACATCTGTCTGCACCAGCTGCCCACATCCCCCCCAGACACAGCTGGACAAACACTCCCAAAGCACCTGCTCCAAGGCAGTAATTTCAAACAGGCAAAGATTAAAAAGATGATTTGTAAGACCTTCCTGTTGCAGTCACTGGTGCCTGGGAGTGCTCACATCCCTTGCTGGCTGCTCCAGGTGAGCCCAAGCCAAGCAGCACAGGTACCTGCACAGGCAGCCAAGATGAGCCCCACTCTCACCTCCATTCCCCCCCCATTAACAAGCTCTGGACATTACAGCACACAATTAACCCTGCAATAAAAGGCAGCACTGAATGTCCATGGCAGAGGTCCTTGCTGAGTGCTGGGGCTGCAGGATGAGCCTCTGGCAGTCCCGTGACAGGGCTCTGTGCCCTCCAGCACACCCAGCTTTTCCCTCACCCTCAGAGGCTGCAATCCTACTAAAACAACTTAAACAGCACACCCCCAAGCCCACTGCAATAAAGAACAAACTATTTCTAAAAAACCTGAATATTACATCTAGTAATAAATCAAGAGCTGGAGAAGCCAACCCCACTCTGCACAGATGGGCCCAGGAGCTCCAGGCCTTGTGGTTTACGAGTCACAGAATGGTTTGGGTTGGAAGGGACCTTAAAGCTCATCTTTTTCCACCTCCCTGCCACAGGCAGGGACACCTTCCATTAGACCAGGTTGCTCCAAGCCATGTCCAACTTGGCCTTGAAAGTGTTGGTAATATCTCACAGTATCTGGCAAGATAAATTTTAGCAGAGAAGTTTTGATTTGGGCAATCAGCAGGAAGGATGTTGGTGCTAGTAAGGTTAAAATAAAGTGTCTTGTCAGAGCTAATACAGCCTCATACCTTGTGACAAACACAGCAAGGGAGAGCTTTAACCACCCAGCAGCCTCAAACCTGAGCTGTCATCGCTGTGCCACTCTAACAGGATAAAACAAGGGGAAAAATAATTCAAACGCTTCTGAATGTCTGTCTGTGCTCGAGCACAGAGGGATGCCATCATTATTGATGGGAAAAAGCCTAAGGCAGAAAAAGGCAATCCATCTCCACACACAGGCACAGGAGAGACACCTGAACAGCTTTAACAGGGAAAAGAAATCGTGGAAAAGTGAATGAAGCAGATTTACTGAATGCCCCAGTTCAGAGGCTGGAGAGGTGCCCACTGTCCCCACCTTTGTCCTTGGGGTGGCACCATCCCAACCCCGCCTGTATTTTCTATAACCTGCTGCTGGGGGGACACTGACATCAAAGTTTATCTGCTGCTCATGGGGGAACAGCAATGGCCCTGTGCCAACCTGAGGGGGGGCACCCACCAACCCCAAAATGTCAGTACAGCTCTTGTAGAGAGCAAACTTACTGGGGGTTATGGGACAAGAGATTTCTACAAGACAAGAAAGTAGCACAGAGTCTGGACAAAGTCACTGGCCATCAGCTGGAGGAGTTTTATTCTGTCCTGACTGCACTCAGGAGACCAGGACGGGAGGGAGGTGAAGTATCGTGTCCCACACCAGGCAAAATGAGGCCTCTTGCTGGCAAACCAAAACTCATCCACTCAGCCTCAAAAAAGGTTAAAAAATAAGAGGGTGCTGGGGCACTGCCCAGGCTCCCCAGAGCAGTGTCACAGCCCCAAAGGCTGCCAGAGCTCCAGGAATGTTTGGACAACTATGCTCTGAGGGACAGGGTGGGATTGTTGGGGTGTCCTGGGCAGGACCAGGAGTTAAGACTTGATGGTCTTAGGGGTCCATTCCAACTCAAGGACCATCAGGACATTCTGTGATTCTATGATTAAATCCTATGGACTGATACACTGCACCTTCAAAGTATTTTAAACTGTTCTCCCAGATACCTGTAAGAAGAAGAGGGGCCTCCCTCTGTTCCAGCCCTGGAAACCTAATTCAGTTTGTTTCCATGCAATTGGAAAGGTACAGGCAGGGCAAGGGACACACCCAACAGCACGGAAAGCTGGTGTACAGAAAGAACATAAGCTCCAAACCTACGTTTCTTCCTTGGAAATCCTTTTTTTCCCCTTACAAACAAAAAATCTCAGCTGCCTGGTAATACAGGTGATTCCCAGGTTATGGCTGGTGTGTATAATATTGTAATAAAATTGGAGAGCACCTGGGGGAAGGACTCTGGCTGTTAAACTGTTATTTCACTGAGGAAAAAAAGTCACAGAAAGCTGCTCTGGTGAAGTAAAATCCCTGTGAAAGGTATTTATGGGGTTTGTGGTTATTAAGAAAAAGTCAAAGCAGCCCTTGGTTTTGGGGCACCTCCCAAACACGGGCAGAAACCCCACCTACTGGCCCCACGAGCTCTGATCAGGGAATGACATTTCCACAATGGTTTTGGGGAATCTGAGGATGTGATTGAGCATCAACACTAAGCTTAAATGACTTTGCACTGGACTGAATGACTGGAGTGTAAACTTTACACACAAGACACCAGCTTGTTCCTACAGCCCATGGATAAGTTGCCTTGATCCCACAGGATGGTTCTTTTCTGAGCATCAGTTGTATTCCAGAGCACAAACTGTGGTTACATATCTGAATTTATAAAAATGATGAGTTTTGATCAGGGACTTTCACTTTTTACATCTTTCTAGGATGTACAGATGGAGTTGGAAGGGCACAGACAGCAGAGTGTGCTGCTGCCATCCCTCCTTTGGATCAAAACATACCTCTGTTTGTGTTTTACTGAAACTGAAAAAAAACCAAGCAAAATAAGTCAATGCTGTAGTATGTAGCAAAGTACAATCAACAGATGTGAAAACCAGCCCAAACCTCCCATTTTTTAATTTAAAATACTACCCGCTTCAAAATTACCCTGTGCAGGTTTTCTAGAATAATTTTCGAAATTCCATTCCACAAGAAGTTTTGAAAGTCTTTATTTAAAATCTACTAAAACGCCAAGTTTCTCTGTAAAACCAAGATTTCTAAAGCAGCTCTAAGCAACACATATACCTTTTTTTTTTCTTTTTTCCAGCACGTAACCTACACTAAATGCTCCTTTAAGGAGTGAATGCCTCCCCAGGGACGTGCTCTGGGAGTTTTGTACCTCTGCCTCTTCCCTTCTGATTCACTCCACGTATTTGTTTCCATAAGGAATCTCTCAGTTTCGTCTGATGTGATAACAAAACTTTCTGGAAAATCTGATTAAGGTATTTCAGCCTTTCCCACAGGCAGGTGCAGCTCAGCACATCACACACCACAGCCACACCCCCAGGGAAATCAGCAGATCCTCCTCCAGACACAGCAATGCCCGTGCTCATGGTACCACTCCCAAACTGTTTCACAGCAAAAGTTCAAATCTACCTCATAAATTCTTTATGAAGTGTTCCAATGCAGAGAATCACAGAATGGTTTGGCTTAGAAAGAACCTTAAAGCTCATCTTGTTCCACCCCCTGCCATGGGCAGGGACACCTTCCACTAGCCCAGGTTGCTTCAAGCCCCGTCCAATCTGGCCTGGGACACTTCCAGGGACGGGGCAGCCACAGCTGCTCTGGGTAACCTGTGCCAGGGCCTCATCACTCTCACAGGGGAGAATCTCTTCCCCATATCCCATCTAACCCTGCCCTCTGTCACTGGGAAGCCATCCCCCCTTGTCCTGTCACT